ATTGTCTGTTTGTCATCATACTGGTTTTTGATATTGCCTTTTTGTTGATGTATATAGGTACCGCACTATGGACCAAGCACATCCGCAATGGAAAGGAACTKCCAGATATAATCAAGGACGAACACTATGACTTTAACTTTCAGGTATATTAACACCAGCTCGAGAATGTGCGCACTTAGGTCCGGATCTTACTAAGTTCGGCACGGCAAAAGCTCGACGCTGATTCAAACGTCCAGCTATTATCTGCCAAACTTAGTGCACTRATCTGTCTTATTTCGGCAGTATTAATGATTGTAATTTGCTTGTTATCGGACCTCTTCTTATCYTTTCGACTCTTTTTCGYTTGACGTATGAATCAACGCCGTACCAAATGAATTTGTGTCCACACAAATTCGATGTTTKGTTCAGTGCGACGATAGCACGTTGTATGAACCGGCTCAGGTCTAAACGGCTTTGTGCTTGTACCTGGCGTTCAATCGCGAAAAACTTAGTATRCTTATTAAGGTCCTGTTTACATGGAGATAGAATTACCCTTCTTRAAGGTTCAACCTTTCAAAAGGGTCAAATYATAGCCCTCCTWTACATGGAAACTCGACAAGCKAGTTATATCCGAGGTAGGGCTATCGTCATTGCTCGGTCGCTAAGTTGCGTAAACAACAAAATGGCGGCTAGACGCTTGATACGCATGGGACGCCATTTATGACTTGGCGAATTAAATTTTTGAACGACTACTACAGTCTTAATAGTAATGTCTTTTTAACCGAGTATATACGATGGCCTTAAGTTAAATTAGTCTTAACTTCTTTCTTGCAGGAAAGTCAGATTCTCAAAAACGAAAGGCATGTTTTACCTGTAAGTTCTACTAGATCTTTTCTTACGCAGACTTCCAGAGATATCTACAAAATAATATATTATCATTACCATCATTATCATTAATCATTAATCATTATCATTGAAATAGCTGACAATAGGGGTACTTCAAAAGACAGCAACTGTTAACTGGGCGATCGGCCAGTTGATMACGTGTTTGAATCTTAGCCAATCRGCGCGCGGTTAAAAWTTTTGCCTTTCGTGRAGTAGACGATCGAATTGTTAGAACACGGTTATTTTTCAGGGAGACGTYTTGATGACACATTGTCAGTTTGACTCCTCACAAAGGACAAAGCTTACAACGGTAGGGAGATATTACGGAACTTCAGATTTGACAACGAGTACGAGATTGAGTACGAGCTTTCAAACCAGCTTTTATTGTGTTGTCCATACTGGATTTCAATCCACTTCGTATATTTATTTCTTTTTTGTGCCGATTTATTCACAGGAATGCATGAAATCATGATTAATACACACTTTTAGCCAATTTTAAAACTCGTACTCGTACTCATTGTCGTACTCGATGTCAAATATGAAGTTCCCTATTATGTTTGTGCCGAAAGCAATTTTTTGCACTGCCTCGCATGTTTGATTTCACATTAAAAAGTCAGATTTACCCTTGCGAATGTTATTGTCTGAGCAAGTAAATACCACAGTATTCGTGGTGTATGGTTGTATCAAGGTTGTATATCAAACCATATCCCATCTTTCTTCGCTTATAGGGAGGACTGTCCACACGAGAAGAGATGTGTTTGAGCTATATGTATTATTACCCTAGAGTTGATTTTACAAAGTGCGTATCGAGCGTTTACGGAAGTTATCAATTTGTARAGGATTACAAGAAAAGGTAAGACTTTGGCGACGAGGACAATAGAAAGTTTAAGCATCACGTTTACGGCAAACGGCTAACGGCGGAGCTGAAGCAATGACCTAAGAATTTCGTGCCTGCAGTTTGCCGTGAACGCTATACTTTAAAAGCTCTCTAATGATGGTGATGACGATGATTATGATGATTTCTATGAAGATTATGATTTTGATATTGATAATGGTGATGGTACTGCATGCTGACGGTGTTTGTTTCAGAATGTAGAAAGATCAGTTGAATGTTTTTTTCCGGCTTTGCAGAAGTGCTTAGCAGCATSTTCTCTTTCGAATATAATGATCTTCTAAAAGTGTTCAGTTGCACCTTAATTGTTAACTCCCACCTTATGTGGTCTCAATGGTAAACTCAAATAGCATGAAGAAAAACAAAAGAATATGATTTCTTTCATCACAGGACGAACACAACCGTGAAAGACTGGACAAAAATAGAATGGAAGAAAGAATGGACTGTAGACTTTAAGAAAGCCGAGGAAAATCAAAATTACACTCAAATAATTTGCGAGGGTATGAAGGGTAAAGATTTGGATCCGGTAAGRAAGCAGTTACGTGGCCTTGGGAAATTCGTAACCTTTGTGTAAAAAAATAGATTTAAAGGCCCAGTTTTCATTATGCTTTGCRCGTCYCTGTTATTGTTATGATTTACACCAAAATACTTCTAGTATCGAAATATCAYCATAAAACGAATKTCAGATGGTTGAAAACTCTTATATTAGCGTTTAAAGTTCTTAGAAAAGTGAGATGGTCAAAGATCCGAAACACATAGTACAATTTATAGACTTTCGGTACACTGAAAATGGCCACCTCCCGGCTCTTGCGCTCCCCAAAGCTTAATGGTGCACACTGGGCCTTAAACACTGTAAAAAAGTAGGTGAAACAACTTACTAACGTTTCGGACGTTAATCCTTCGTTGGAGTAGAGAGAAATTAGGCTAAGTATGAGTTTATAAAATGAGAGGAGCAAAGAAAGCAGACGAATATGAGCAAGCAGCACAAACTAGTTTATCTCTAGTTTCCACTGACAATAGTCTTCTTCACGGTTACCTGCGCCATCTTGAAAGGTAGCCGTGCCTTTGCATCGAAGCGAGACGACCGTTGAGCGTGCAATGATAGAAACTTTTTTTCACACCTACAGGCAATTATACACAGGTATCTATCATTGCACGCTCAACGGTTGTCTCGCTTCGATGTAAAGGCACGGCTACCTTTCAAGATGGCGCWGGTAACCGTGAAGAAGACTATTTGTTACCTTGTTTACTCGTGATGTCCGTAAGCAAAAAACACTTATTTTTTATTTTGTTGTAAACTTAGTTTTCTGTTTTTGTATTTTAGGTGCATGAACAATTTTTTCCGATTCCATCTATTAAAGAGGCCTTGCCTAAGCCCAAAGATTGCAGTGTTGTTCCTACCACTAAACAACCTCGCCCAGAATCTTTCAGCGTCAAAGCCAGCGTCTCCGGTCTCCTGTTGGCTACAGCAGTATTTCTGGCAAACATTGCTTAATTTAAAGCGATGTCGAGTGAGAAAGCATTATTTTATGCTTCAATGTTRGAAATAAGGCTTGATCAGTTCCCACAAGTGCACGTTATTGTTTTGTTTTCTTGTTTCAATTACTGATATTAATATTACTACATTACTATTACTTTGGTATCCAACAAAACATGGGCTGTCAAAAATCTAGCATTCTGATTAGCTTCTGGACTATGGTATATTCATGTTATACCATAGTTACATCGTTACCATAGTTACATCGAATGATGCGAAAATAATCGAAAAAAATTACGAGAGAAATTGTTCTTTGCAGTCATTGTTAAATACGGCTTATAGTTTGGTGGATACTAAACAATCAGACCGCTCGGACTCGTGAACTACGAGTTGATACTCCTTTCAACGAATTCGTCCTCGTGGACTATCAACTCGTAGTACACTCGTCGTTGTGGTCTAATTTTCATATAGTTTTAATTTTTCCTGAGTTTATTTAGCGAATCCTGTCATGCGTACCAAGCGTTGTTCGAGTATATTTGGTAGCATCATCAGTATTATATTATGTTATACGATGACAGTTATATACATTATCTTATTGGAATRAAGTATTTATATTACATACTAAAGAATAACTTTGTATATTTTTGTTTATCATATAATTATCTATGAAATACCTATATTTCTCCATTTCGTAAACTTGATATCTTATTCGAGGTTTCTCTATATMGTGAAAGTAAGAAAAAAGCTATTTTACGACATAATKTGCTTTCGTATACAATTATATGATAAATAGAATATTCGCTACGCTCACTCGTGAGAGATCTTTTCAACACTCGAAGATAAAATCCGTATCTCCGCGCGCCCATGTAATATCCTCTATATATCATTTTTGTTATTGCTATTMTTTTGATCAAGATATTATATTAATGTAAGTCATGCAGTTCTGTCCTGTTTCGTTCCTTTCCGTTCTGTTTCTGAAGGTATTATTAAAGTCCCAGTTCGCGCCATTATGCTTTTCGCATCTCTGTTATTGTTATGATTTACAACAAAATGCTTCTAGTATCCATAATATAATAAAACTCATTAATATTCATAAGGCAAAACACAATAGAAATCATAGCCCATGAAGAGAGTTGTATATTTCAGATTCTTGTTCATTTGCATAAACCTTAAATTCTGATTTTCCCTGTCAGATTGAGTTTTTTTCAAAAGTTTCTTTAAAACCTGAGCTAGTTTACCTCAACGTTTCATAAGTACTTATAGCGTAAAGTAAGATGGTCAAAGATTTGAAACGCACAGTACAATTTGTAGACTTTCCGTAAACTGAAAATGGCCGCCTCGCGGCCCTCAAAGCATAATGGTGCACACTGGGACTTTAAGAGATTACGAGAAACAATGTATCAATAGCTTACATCTCCATGGAACCGGCACCATACCGTCGTCTTATTGTTTATTCGAAACTTACAAAGTGCTGAGTAATTATCCTTGCTATTACTTTGAGCCGAAGTTACTCGCAAAATGGCTTCCATTATGAAACTCGTGACATCAGTTCTACTCGCCGCTTCTTTCGCCTCTGCAAGTCTCAATACAGARTACAGCAACTCAGCATTCCTCGATGAAGCGAAAACTTACAAACTTTATTGGAAAATTGACGATGATGAAAAAATAATTTCGTTTGCTGTCGAGGTCAAGACACTCGGATGGGTTGGCTTTGGGATATCGCCTGGAAATGGAAATATGGTTGGATCTGATGTTGTGATTGGCTGGGTTAAAGGCAATAAGGGTTATTTGAAGGTATTCGAAGTAATTACAATTGCATTTCTACACAGTTTTACAATATAATAAAAATCGGTGTAGTATGACCGAAGTTCGCTTAAAAATATTAAAATGTCAATACATAAGATAACATCTATCAAAATAAAACCTGAAGTTCCAGGGTCTTTTTCAAATTTCAAAGATACTTTAAAACTTATATAYATTAACTAGTTGACGACAGTATGGCATTCATTATACCTCGCAAATTTGTTTCTCTTAATATGGAACCATTGTAACCGCTGTTTTYAACTTTTAAAAATTTATATATATATTGGTCAGCAGGTTGTGACTGTGGATTTGAAATTCAATTTTCGAMAACATTAGCTAAAATGTAAATATGGGGGCCCACCGTATGCCATTCTAGTTATTTGTGAAAGTCACATTTAAGTGCAAGTGTTTGACATAGTCCATTATAAAATAACTTTCATATTACGCACGCTCTGATTGGCCAAAAAGCCGTGTTTGATGAGAGCATAATACACGCTCGCGTCATTTTTTTCCTCGGCTTTTTTTCCTCATGAATATTTGAGCGCTTGTTATTTTATAAAAGCAATAAAAAACAGTTTTCCGTGTATTATACTCTGATAAAAACACTTGGGATGTGGAGAGAACACTCGCTTTGCGTCGTGGTTTCCTACGCTTCTCTCGTGTTCTCCCCACATCCCAAGTGTTTTTATCAGAGTATTATACACGGAAAACTGTTTTTTATTCCTTAAATAGAAAATTGAGCGTTAACCGATTTGGACAGATTTGAAAAATAACTGTATTATTTAATGCAATGTCGCTGAGCTTATGATAATGATTCTGGTAAATATTAACTGATTCTTTTTAAGTTATAATTATCCTATGACAACATCTTTGAAATTAATTAATTAATTTTTTGAAATATTTTGTTTTTGTATTCGTAATAAACGTTCAMAGTTTGACTGTGTGACTTAAGGTCTCAACAAAAGAGAATTAACAATAGCACATTCCGCGCAATTATAAAGGTCGGAATGAAGCTGTTTGCTAAAAGAGTGTCCTAAAATTAAAAAGTATTTGCCAAGTTTGAGTTTAAAATAGAAGTTTACATCGGATTTTCGGATAATCTATTTTAGACAACCAACTACAGCTCGCACGATTGGCTGAAAATTCTTGTTAATCCTATAGTTTCAAAGGCAAGAAAATTCAAAWTGTAGTCGCCGGAGGCGARCAATTTGGAGTTTTCATTAAGAGAATGTTATACTTTTTGTGGAACATTTCCTTTATTTGATAAAATCATACTTTACTATACAGGCAATGTG